TGAGGGATATTTTCTTCCCAGAAAGTTTCCATGGTTGCTATATTCCTCTATATTTAATCACATCTTCACCAAGGGGGCAAAAGTTGACAATATTCTCTCCCAGGTCTTTAAATAGACTATATCAGTGATGTGGTTTTGATTGTTAATTCCTTTGGCATCACAATATCTCTTCCAGAAGGCCAAGAATAATCAGAAAGTTTTTAAACATGTGTATGTATAGATATACATATATGTATATCTACAAATATATATGCTTTTATTTCCTTTCTGTTTTTTCTCACATATATATGGAGTCTGGCCAGTAGATCATACATTTAGTGTGGTCAGGAAGGAGTTTCAAGTAGCCAAATTGTCTTCAGCATGACATCCAATCATTTCCCTTGGACTTGGAAGTTGGCACGAAGTAATGTAGGACTGAATCAACTATGGTAGGTATTCCTTTTCTCAGTCAGAGGCAAGTGCCAGAAACTGGGTTGGCAATTGGCTTTTGAAGTCTACCCAAAGATGAGTTTTTCCAAAATATCAAAAAGCTGTTGTAGTCCCAAGGCAGCTGTTAAGAGTTGATGTATAGAAGCAAAAGGGACTATGAGAATTAGGAAAACAACTTTTTTTCATGAAAAGTCAGGTCCACCCAAAAGACTCAGAGCAATATGAGTGCTTGAGAACATGAATTTTCTTTGCTAGTTAGAAATTACCAGTGAGACATAGTGAAAGGACTATGTTAATATGCATGTAAATATTAAAACTTTATTAATTATATGTTATCAAAGGCATCGTGTATACTGTCTATATATTAGGGAATGCTAAAATGCACCTCTTAACATATGTATAAAATGCTATCCAATCCTAAAAGAAACATGGATACATGAAGGTAGAAGGTGTTCAGAAAAACTTGGTAAGTACGATCAGCATTCTTCCAACCATCATTTGTTCCTTCTTTAGTAACTGTGGATCATAAAATTAATAAATTACAAGTGCAAGTCATCTGTCATGTACTTAATTTTGAGGTAACACAGGAGGATGGGGCAGACAATAAACTATATAATACATCATCTCTTCCTTCAAAACCCTTTTATGATAGTCAGCAAGGCAAAGCAAACAAATCAAATAAACGATTTATAAATGACTGATATTAGGAAGTTGCAGGGAAAAGAAACTTCTTTATGGCAGTGACAGGCACCTTAGACAAGGTGAGAAGGGCCAGTAAGTGTTAGGTGGGAGAATTCATATAAAATATCAAGTGGAATAAGTTTGGGTTTAATAACAATGAAGACAAAAATTCCAATAGACAAAAAACTTTTAGATTTAAGTAATAGTAAGGAAATCTGACTTGGGAGGTGGAGGCAGAAGGATCTTGAGTTTGAGGCCAGCCCAGGCAGAGTTAGCAAGACTCTATTTCAAAAACAAAAATAAAAACAAGAGGATTGGGGCCTACCTTAACTGGTAGAGTGCTTGCAAGAACAGGCCCTGAGTTTAATCACCAATACTAAAAAAGATCTGGACTAGGTAAAGAGGGAACATAATGTAGACAAATTTAAACCAACTGGATGAGGACAAATAAACACAGAAAGAGAATGCATCCATTAATACTTTTTATAAAAATAGTCTCTCTAAATGAGAGAAATATAAACTTGTTTTATCAAAGATAACATTACCATAAACTTAATGGATGCATAAAACTAGAACAGCAATGTCAGAAAGGTCGTCAATTTCAAAAGGTCATACATAATTTATGTTATATATCACTCTTTATGTCTCTCCACACACACATATATATATATATTTACAAATCATATACCTGACATAATTCAACTAATATATACATATTATGTGTAACATATGCCATTAGTATATCTGAGAACTGAGGTTATCTATCTATCTATCTATCTATCATCTGTCTATCTATATATCTATCTAATGTCTATACAGCCTGGTTTGCCTGAGTCAATGTTGGTTCATGCTTATCATGTCCTAGCATGTACATTTTTTACAAAAGTTAAAATATTTAAAAAATAAAACTGTTTTACATATCCACCAAAATGACAATTCAGATTGTCTGTCAATACCTATGTATTTTGAAGAAATATAACAATTTTTAGCACCTCCTTTTGATGCCTATTAGTGTCCCAGTTTGTAATAATATATGATTGTTTAGGTAACATAAAAAAGAGAGATAGATGATTTGAACAAAACAGATAGAACTTAAAAGGAAAGAGACAAATGGACATTTCTTCCAAAATGCAATAAAAATTAATGAAGGAGTGGAAGAAGAGATTGATCAAAAGAAATTTCCAAGTGTCCAAATTGAAATAATTGAAAAAATAATAGCAGAATTCTGACAGATTGGAGTAACTTTTTGGCTTTGAAATCTCATGATACTTTTGTATGTCAATAATCTCAACCTGCTATTAAAATTTTTTTAATTTTGAGATTCCATATCTACATCTATTTAGTTTTAGTGTTAATTCTCATTTAAACGTTATGTGTAGTTGTGACTGTGTTTAGTGATGCATTTATCTGAATAACTGGAAATTTCATAAGTGTCTGTAATGTCAATTTCTCCTGAAAATGGAAAATTATGGAGTTATTTTGAAGATAAGAATCTGAGGCCAGGGAAGTTCAGTATATTGCTCTGAATCGGGGATTCATATAGCATGGATGAGGTAGATATCAAGTATGGTCCTGAGAGGCTGATGTATATTGACTGATCTTACCTCACAACTATGGTATAACCATTACTCTTTTTACTGGGAAGATAAAACTTAGGTCCACACAGTGGATTTGAACCTTGTCTTTGGACAATGGTATTTTATCCACTATATAATATTGTCAATTACAAAGGGAAAACCAAGTTTACCAAAATGTGATGGGGGTTCATTCTGAAAATATGGAAATGAAAAGAAAAAAGTTAAGCCTCTATTGTGCTTAATAAGAATTCAAGTATCTTGGGTCACAAGAAATCAATGGAAATACATATTCTCAAGTTCATTTACAATAGTGTAGTACCTAAGAATAAACAGCAATTAAAAAAGGAATTTACTAAGCTATTTTTTAGTAATTATAAACACTAAACATGCCTTCTATAATTCTAATATCACAAAGAAAAATATATGCATAAACATTCCACTTAATAATAAACAGTATTTAAATGTTCAAATAATCAAACACTCCACTTAAAGACTGTTATTTAATAAAGAATTTAAAAGAATGTCTCCACTTGAACTGATACTGAATTCAAACAAAATATATTGAAGTATATTGAAAACTGATGTAATACTTTTCAAAAAAAGTAAATATATCGTATCACATATATGTTTAAACCTGTTAATTATGTCATTATAAATTTTTACATCTTTTACAACAGCAAGACCTAGCATACTTTTGAATATGTGATGTTAAGCAGATAAAACAAATTATCTTTGAAATATATAGGGCTGGAAAGAATTAAAGAAACAATGCAATGAAACCATTTAATTTTATAGACAAAAAGTTAGGAACAAGACATTTATTATAAAGAAAAATTTAAAAATAAGACTTAAATTTATCTGGAGTTGAATTTACTCTCTAATTATAGAAGGCAAAGACTGGAAGACATTTTGAATATACCACATTTACTCCCCACGAAAGTTTGAATTGCCTTTATGATATCCTGTTATTAGAACACGTCTTGAACACCTATAATTTAAACAGTTTACTAACCCTTGAGATACCTTTTAGTTTTGAAGATCTTACATCAATAATAAACACTTTGCAGAAATACATATTTTAGAAGGGCGGGATGGGGAGGATCTCGAATGAGCAGAACTGAAGGGTGAGGACTTAATGTTATAATGTAGCAGTGTTTCAAGTATAAGGACACATATAATTCTCCCTCTCAGATCTCATGTCTCCTTACACTCTCCAGTCCTTCTGGAACTTGTTTCAAATTCTCTGTGACTTTTAAGGTGTGGCAGTTAAGGCTGAAACCACAGATGATTTGGTCAGTACAGGACTAAGCTAGTCGTTCACAGCTTGTTTCTGGATAAATTCCAGGTAACTTTTGCATGGCTTCACATTCATCTGGATAGAATTTTTGGTTTCTTTATGTTTCCACGCTTGTTAATTTATTTTGTTGTTATAAAGATATTCTGAATCCCATCTGATTCTGATACACGGTCAGGGTGGAAAACTCCTGGGCCAAACACTATGATTTGTTTCTGTTTGTTTTTTAGTGAGGATGCAACTTTAATAGCCACACAACTCCTTAAACTTAGTCCAAGTTTACATTTGTCATGTTACATAGACTGCTTCAAAGCAAAATCTCCAATTTCTGAATAGACACATGATATTTATAACTCAGGTAGGATTTTCAGCTTTCTAGATTGTTTTTAAATGGTCAGATATGTGTGTTTCCTAATTATGTTTTTCAGTAATTTCACTATTTTTTCAGTCCTGCATTTTTGAGGGAGTATTTTCTGGATGCTTCTTTAAACCTGACAAATACACATACAGGGTAGAATCCAGAAAGGAATCCTATAAAGGTCCAAGAAACAATTCCTTCTAGAGTAACAAACCCTTCAGGGATGGTTACCCAAACTCTTTCTCACCTGCCCTCTGAGTGACACCAGAGAGCTGCCTAGTGCCAGGGCTCTATTTAAAAGCACTTTAGATGGCCTTTGACATGCTGCTTCCAGTTCAGTGATTTATCATCCTACAGGAGGCTGATAATTCCTGGTAATATATTGTAAGATAAATTTGGCACAGAGATAACTCATGTGAAAGTTTTCCACGTGACACATAATCAAAAGCTGGCTTCAAAGCATACTTTAAAAAAGATTAGGAAAATTATCACTTTTGTAAGATCCAATGTTTTACACATGTTGGAGCTCGCTATTTTAACACACCCATTATTAAATAACAAAATGGGTATTTTTTAAAGTATTACTTCTAATACATGATCACCTTCTACTTTTACCATGATAGTATTTTTTGTGGAAGCAATCAAAAAATGAGATTCTTACCCCAAAGGCTGGGAACACTGGTTGGTTCAGGAGTAACAGAATTATTATTTACAGTGTCGAGTCGAGTTTGATAAACATCCACCTGGGAGTCATTTGCTGGAAAAAGTTAACAGTTACAATGAAATACAAGAACACTGTCACATTGCATATTTCTACACACAAAGTAAAGTACACCAGTTGTTTTAGCAAAAGTAGACTTCTGGCAATTTTAGTCACATTGCTAAGTTGGATAATATTTCATTAATAACTGTTGCTTTTTGTTGAAGCATATAGCAGTTTATGTTTAAGAAGCCACTTTCGTAAGTTTTATTAGCAGATAAAATGATTGAATTTAGATAGCTGTTTCCAAGTAACTGTTTACCCTCAAATTTATAAGAATAAGGGAAATCAGCAGTCCCAAAATTATACCAAAATTATACTACAGTATTCTGTCTATGGAAAACTAAATAGTGTAGCATACAAATAATATGACATTTATGGCAACAATCTAAGGGCTTTAATTATTTGCATTTTTAAAAAAACATACTGACACATCTCTTCTCGATCTAATTTTCATTTGCATGGATGAAACAAAATCTTGGTAAATCTGAACATTCTTTGAAATGAGGTGAGAAATGAACTTACAAGGGTCTTCACAGGTGTTCTTGCATTCTTCCAGTGATTCAAAGTTGTTTAGATTTCCTAGGCACCCACCATACTTGAAACGTTCACACTGTTTTGACTGATTATTATAAAAATACCTGGTAATATAACCTCGACAGATTCCAGGTTCTTCTTCCAAGAAGCAGAAATCTGGCTTTTCTAGAAATCATTTTTAAAATATCAGAAAGTATTCCTTCTGTAAATAATTTAGTTATTTTAATTAAATTTATAAATAACTGGTTGTTATTTAAACAATCAATTTAAAGAGTAAATGTGAAATTTACTCTCAGTTTAAACTGAGAGCTTCATGCTTGCAAAGTGGGCACTATACTGCTTGACCCAAATCTTCATTCCATGTTTTCTCTGTTTTTGGGTATGGGGTCCCGCAAACTATCTGTCTTGGCTGGCCTGGAAAGACATTCCTCCCAATCTCAGCTTCCCAGGTAGCTAGGATTATAGGTATGAAGCACTGACACACGGCTATGAAGATACTTCTTCTAGTAAAGATAAATAATATGACTATTGAAAAAGTATATAATACTAGAATTATCTATTATGTTTATTGTGGTATTTGGAATAATGAAGATACAATGATTATATATTTCTGCAGTTGGCCTTTCAAATTCCAAACTTTTAATAGTAAATGAATAATTAACCATAAGTTCTTTTTATAAACTAAATGAACTAAGAGAATAAAAATACTGAGCTATTTTAGCATGTGTCATCCTTGCTTTGGAATTACAAAACATTATGACAGATTTTGGTTTAATTAATTCTATTAAACTCATGTGCAATGTGCATTGATATTAAGGAAAGTTTCATGAATATTGCATGTATTGAAGTGTAGGGTGTCAGCAGGTCAACAGTACAGTGTGTTGCTTCATTAAGGATAGTTTAAATTTTAATATTTTGGAAAGAAAATTTGAGCATAATGGAAGCTTTCATGTCTGTTATTGGATCTTCCTGAATTCTCATGCTGGAATTAATATCGGTACTAGGAATGACAACCTTCAGTGCTGTGTCTCTCTTTTTTTTTTCTTCCAAGCACTGGAATGAACCAACAATGCAGGGCAGAAAGGAAATACATGTTCAGGGATTAGAGAGGCTTTTACAAAAGTTTAATACCCCTTATTTGATAGTGCTCCAAACCAGGCTAAATACAGCTGTCACAAAAATTGTGATATTGTGGACTACATTGCAAGCTTGTTTGCCTGCTTACGCTGAAGAAAACTGAGCCAACTGTCAAATGTTTTATGAGCATAGGGTGATTTGTGCTAGAATATTTTGAATAATGTTCAAATGATCCTTTTTTACTTCAACTACATTACCACAGTGACCCAAATTGATGGTGGTATACTTTTATATATTAAAGCAACTTGCTCTCTATTTCAGGGCACCAATGTCCACAAATGTCTTACTATAAAAAGAGCACAGGCTTAATGTTAATGATGTCTACAACAGTTGCAGACCTGGAGAAGAAGCAATCCCCTACAAGAGAGTTGTTTTATTAAATAAAACTTTCTATTTTAACATAGTGTAAAAGTCAATTTTCTATAAACTCACCAAATACCAGTTTGAAAGTTAACTTTGTTTCTTGTTTACTAACTCATACTTTTTAAAGTGTTACTATAATTCCCATATAGTCTCCTTTTTCAAAGGTAACATTTAAACTGACATATAAAATAATATATATTTATTGTATACAATATGATTCCTTAAAAAACACATATACATTGTGGAATGATTAAATCTAGCTAGTTGAAATATGTATCATCTCACATGGTTATCTTTGTGTGTGTGTGTTGGGAACACTTAATATCCACTCTCTTACCTTTCTTAAGAATACAATATATGGTCCTTAACTATAATCACCCTGATAAAAGATAAGTCTTTTGAACTTTTTCTCCTACCTAGCTACAATTTTGTGTCTTTTGACCAGCATCTCCCCAATCATCTGTCCCTAGCCACCTCCACCTCTGATAACCACAATTCTATTCTCTATTTTTAGGAGATCACCCTTTTAGGATTTCACACATGAGTGAGATCATGCAGCATTTGCCTTTCTGTGTCTGGCTTATTTCACTCAACATGATATTCACTGTGTTGAACCATGTGTGACAAATGGCAAATTTTCCTTCTTTTCTATGGTTAAGTAGTATTCATTGTATTAAATATACCACAATTTCTTTATCTATTTACCAATGAAGAGAACTTATGTTCATTCCATATATGGGTGTTGTAGAATAATGTACAATGAACACAGGAGTGAAAGGACATGTTGGTTTCATTTCCTTTTGTTGTATACCCACTAGTGGGATGTCTAAATCATATAGAAGCTCTGTTGTTAATTTTAAATTTTAAAATTAAAGTTTTAAAGACTCTCTGTATGGTTTTCCATACACTATATAAATTTATAATCCCATTAGTAGTATCGTCTTTTGTCTTTTTGATAAAAATTCTAACAGGAGTGAGGTGATATCTCATTGTGACTTTGGTTTGCATTTCTTTGATGATTTGCCTTGGGCATCTATCACATATCATGTAACTGTTTTTCAAAGTAAATGTTACTATGATTTGTAGTTAAGTGGGGATAAAACAAACCTTGTTCTTCATATTTTTATAATAAGGAAAAGAAAAATACATTCAACTATTTTGATTTATTTTAGCCTTAATATGTAAGTAAATACACAAATATGTAAAATAAATAAATTCTAAGAAAATCAAAAGTGAATGAGTAAGGACTTTTGTATGTGTAACATTCTCAAGGCTAAATTCAATCTCCAGTACCACAAAACAATAAACCAACAAAAAATATTGTATATAAGGAATAGAAAATAACATAGTTTATGCTGATAAGTATATGCTGGTAGTTTTATTGTTTATATGAGGTCCCATCAGAGAACATGAATTTATTTTAGGACAAGTTGGTAATGTACATATGTCAAATAATTCTTCTTAACCTTCCAATTTAAAATATGGTTATAAATCAAAAATTAATTTTCCATATTCCTCAGATTGATAAAGTGCATTCTTTTGAATTTGCATACACACTTTCTGTGTTAGAATTGACATAGAATGTAGACTGTAAGCTCATGTAGCAACTTTCATAAGCCATAGCAGTATAACGTGAACTTTCTCTTGGGCCTGCTTGTTTAGAAATTGCCTTTGACTAATCTTCTTCCCAAGGACTTGCAGTGAATCTCACTGACTTCACAACTGTTTCAATGCTAGGAAGCATATCACAAAGCTAAGTTTAAGTTAACAGAAGACTTTATATGGATTGGTTTTAGCATCTAAACATTTTCAACACTCAAGTAAATAGAACTTAATTTTATAACTTTCATTTATAATATCAATTAAGAATGATTGGTTTTGAAATTATGAAATATACATTTTATGTCATAAATTTATGCAAAATTTTACCTGCATGTATTTTTCTAATTCTGTTTTCTAATTGTGTTAGTTTTTCCTTCATGAAAATACCCTGTTGTACTTGTTAAACAAAAATTCCCTAAATATGCTGTGTTCATTTGTATTACAACTAGAACTTCATTTAAGTAAGTAATGAACATTTTCCTCCAGATTGATTCAATATGTTCATGAATCTTTTTTTAAAAATGGTAAATGAACACATATATTTGCTTATATTGTTTTTTAAACAACTTTGGCTTTGAATTTAATTTATAAATTTTGATTACATTCTGGTCAGTGAATTAAGTCTGAATGTACTTATCAGAAATTGTCAACTTTTTCCTACACAGTTAAACCAATATAAGCAAAATTTAAATGCACCTTGAATTTTGTACTCTTTCAGGTTAAAAAACTTGATTTATTTGTTTAATATTTTTCATTCAAATGTAAGTGCCATAAATTATAACAAACTAAATCAGTTTATAGGCCTTTATTAAAAGTGGTTGAGCCTGACAAGTTGCACACAACCTAGGCTACATAGAAAGATCAATGCCAGTCAGAGTTATTTGGGGAGAACCAGTCTCAAAAACAGAGACATTGGTTTCCTTGATCTGTTGATAACCTTATTTTATTTTCTGATATATTCACTAAAAGTATTATTTCTAATAAAAAGTAGTCATTTGTCACAAAATCAATGATGTCCACACATGTTAAATAATGTTGACAAAGGTAAATATCTCCTCTGGTTTTGTACATAAAACTGTTGATAATTCAATGACATAAATCTATTTAGGGAAATACTAGATGTGTTAAAGCTGCATTGTGTTGAGATAAACAATAGATTAGATATTGGAAAACTAAAGTAAAGCTAGCAACATGTAAATCTGCAAGACCATAAAATAACACGTGTGACTCTGCATTGTGGGTGATTTAAAACTGAATACCATGTTGTATCAGGATGAGAGCACAGGTGGTATTTGGAGCCTTCCCTACCACATATCATGTCTATTGTTTCTAAATGTTCTTTACATCCACTGAACCAAAACAGTATTTCAAATGTCATATGGAATTATGACTAACCCAGATCAGAGAAACTTAAGAACTATGAATCTAGATTCCTTACACAGATGCTACTAACTTAAGTATAAGTGAATGTTCACCTTTTTGAGAAGTTTTCTTCCTAGTCTTCTTTGAATAATCTGCAATATAAACAATGCATGTGTATCAGTTGCCAGAATTTATAATATAACATTATGAATTTGAAATAAGCAAACAAGCAAGGACAGTCATTTTAATTTTGTCTAAAGATTATTTCTTCTAATTTTAATCAAAAGACGCCTCATATATTTATTGTGGTTCTGGAGTTCTAGGGCCTTATGCATGCTTGACAAATGCTCCCCCACTGAGTTAAAACCCCAGCTCCACCTCAGTTATTTTAAATTAAATTAATTTTTATATATACACAAAAACATGAAAGTTGTATTTATTAATGGAGTGTTATGATGTTTGGATGCACATATACATTGTACAATGTTTAAATGAGGTTAAATATGTCTATTTCCTCTTTATGGTTCTTTATGGTAAAAACCTTCAAAATTATTCTACCTTTTTAAGTGTGCAGTACATTATTGTTATCTGTAGTTACCCTACTGTGCGTACCAGAACTTCTTGTTCTTATTAACTATAACTTAGTACCATTGATTGGCCTTTTCCCCACCCCATTTCCCTCCCTCTCCTATCTTCTTTAGGCTCTGGTAACCATTATTCTACTGCCCACTTTGATGAAGTCAATGTCTTTAAATTCCACAAATGAATAAGATCATCCAGTACTTGTCTTTCTCTGCCTGGTTTATTTCACTTAACACAATGACCTCTGGTTCCATCCATATTGTCACAAATGATAGAATTTATACTTTTATTTGGTGGCTGATGTGCTTGGTTTTGAACAGCTTATTGTGTTCTACTAATCTTATCTTCTGTAGTGTCTAATTTGCTCTGATGATGAATTTCTTAGTTTGTATATTATGTTATTCAGGTATAGAATTTTCTTTAGTTCTCACTTATGTACTCCATTTCTCTATATAGTGTGTATGTTTTCTCTTAATTCTTTAGTACATTTGTAATACTATTTAAAAGTTCTTACTTAATACTTCCATCATCTTTACTTTTTCTATTTTGATTGTACTTTTTTCCTTAGTTTTGGATCAAAATTTGCATCTCGTTTAAATGTTTAGTATATTGGCAAAGGTGAGATTATGGATATTTTTGAATATCATAGTGTTTACCAATGGGTTTTTGTTTTCTTCCCTTAAAGAATGTTGAAGTTTCTTTCTCAGGACCAAATAAGAAATAGCCCTTCTCCAGAGTCAATATTATGAAAATGTCCATAGTACTTAAAGCAATCTAAATGTTCAATGCAATTCTTATAAAAAATTGTAATAGCATTCTTCACCAATATAAAAAAGACAATCTTAAAGTTCATATGGAGTCACAAAAGATCTTGAATAGCCAAAGCAATCCCGAATCAAAAAGAGCAACATTGGTGGTGTCACCATACCTGACTTCAAACTATACTACTGAGCCATAATAACTGGCACAACAATAGACATGAAGACCAATGGAATAGAACAGAAGATCCAGAAACAAACCCACACAACTATAGCCATCTGTTTTTTGGCAAAGGTGCCCAAAATATGCACTTGGAAAATGATAGTCTCTTTAACAAACAGTGTTGGGAAAACTGGATATCCACCTGTGGAAGACTGAAATTAGACCACAGTCTGTCACTTTGTACTACCATCAATTCAAAATGGAGTAAAGATCCTAATGTAAGATCTGAAACAGTGAAATTAATCCAGGAAACAATAGGGAACACATTGGATCACATAGGCATAGGTAATAACTTAATGAATGACTTCATATTGCTGACTCCAGTGGCTTTGCAATTAAGAGAAAGTATTGACAAATGGGACTGCATGAAACTAAAAAGCTTCTGCACAGCAAAGGAAACAGTCACCAGACTGAAGAGACATCCTAGAAAAAATGGGAGAAAATCTTTGTCACCCATATGTCCTACAAGGGATTAATAATTAGAATATACAGGGCGCTCAAAACACTAACCTTTCCAAGAATTAACAACCCATTGAATAAATGGGCAAATGAACTGAACAGACAATTCCTTTTTTTATTGTTTTTATATTTATTCACATGTGTATACATTGTTTGGACCACCTCTCTTACCGCCCCTTATCCTCTTTCTTCCCCCACTGTAACTTCCCACTGCCCCTCGCTTCCAGGCAGAACCTGTTCTGCCCTCTTGTTTTCCAATTTTGTTGAAAAGAAAACATAAAAGATAATAAGAAAGACATAACATTTTTGCTAGTCTGAGATAGAGATAGCTATACAGAGAGATTCCTAGCTTTGCTTCCATGCATATGTATATTACAACCTGAATTAGTTCATCTCTACCAGACCTCTTCACTACTTGCTAGTCACCTTCCCATAGTGGCCTCTGCCAGTTTAAGATTACTGTATTTGCTCATCTGCAGTGGGCACATCAACCACATACAAGTTTTAGGTTTCCTTCCTTTTCCTTATTCCTCCCATATGCGTTCTATCCTTAGTGTCTAACCCATGTTCAATAATATTACTGTATTTATTTTAGGTCTATAATCTACATATGAGGGAGAACATACAATTTTTGGCCTTCTGAGTCTGGCTAACTTTGCTTAAGATGATGTTCTCCCATTCCGTCCACTTACTTGCAAATGACAAAATTTCATTCTTCATTATGGCTGAATAAAATTCCATTGTGTATAAATACCACATTTTCTTAATCCATTCATCAATTGTGAAGCATCTTGGCTGTTCCATAGCTTGACTATTGTAAATAGTGGTGCAGAAAATATGGATGCGCAGTTATATCCTTTGGGTATATCCCTAGGAGTGGTATTGATGGATCATATGGCAGATCTATAGTTTTTTAAAAAGCCTCCATATTGTTTTCCAAAGTGGTTTTACTAGCATACATTCCCACCAGTAGAGAATGAGGGTTCCTTTTTCCTCACATCCTCACCAACATTTGTTGTTGGTGGTGTTCTTGATGTTCTATTTTAACAGGGGTGAGGTGGAATCTTAGTGTGGTTTGGATTTGCATTTCATTTATGGCTAGGGACAGTGAACATTTTTTCATGTGTTTTTTGGCCATTTGGACTTCTTCCTTTGAAAAAGTTCTGTTTAGTTCAGTTGCCCACTATTTTATTTGTTCACTGATTTTGGGGGAGTTTAGTTTTTGAGCTCCCTGTATATTCTGGTTATCAGTCCTTTGTCTTATCTACAGCCAGCAAATATTTTCTCTCACTCTGTGGGTGGTCTTTCCAGTTCAGACACCATTTCTTTTGTTGTGCAGAAGCTTTTTAATTTCATGTAGTCCCATTTGTCCATTCTTTCTTTTAGTTGCTGGACCACTGGAGTTCTACTGAGGAAGTTCTTGCCTATACCTATTGCTTTCAGAGTATTCCCTGCTTTCCTGTACTAACTTCAAGGTTTCAGGTCTGATATTAAGGTCCTTAATCCACTTTGAGTTGATACTAGTACAGGGTGAGAGGCACTGATCTAGTTTCAGTTTTCTGCAGGCAGATAACCATATTGTTGTTTTCCCAACAGTATTTGTTGAAGAGGCTGTCTATTCTCCATTGTATGTCAAAAAATAAGGTGGGTGTAGCTGTGTGGATTCATATTTGAGTCCTCTATTCTGTCCCATTGGTCTTCATATCTGCTTTTTTGCCAGTACCATGCTGTTTTTACTGCTATGGCTCTGTAGTATAGTTTTTAGCTAGGTATCGTGATACCTCCAGCATTGCTTGGCTATTTGTTGTTACTTGTGTTTGCAAATGAACTTTAGGGTAGAATTTTCAATCTCTGTAATGAATGTCATTGGGATTTTGATGGAAATTGCATTGAGCATATAGATTGCTTTTGGTAGTATAGCCATTTTCACTATTTTGATTCTACCAATCCATGAGCATGGGAGAGTGTTCCACTTTCTGTAGTGTTCCTCAATCTCTTTCTTCAGGGGTTTGTAGTTCTCCTTGTAGAGGTCATTTACATTCTTTGTTAAGTTTATTCCTAGGTATTTTTGTTTTTTTGAGGCTATTGTAAATGAAATTGTTTTCCTACATTCTTTCTCAATTTGTTCATTGTTTGTATATAAAAAGGTTATACTGATTTTTATAAGTTGATTTTGTATCCTGCTACATTGCTGAAGCTGTTTATGGTGAACAGACAATTCTTGAAAGAAGAACTACACATGGCCATAAACATATGAAGAAATGCTCAACATCCTTGGTCATAAAGAAAATGCAAATCCAAGTACATTGAGTTCTACATTACTTTGGTCAGAATGGCTGTCATCAATAACACAAACAAAAACAAATGCTGAAGAGGATATGAGGAAAAATGAATACCTCTACAGTCTTGGTGGGAATATAAATTAATGCAACGACTATGAAAAGCAATATGGAGGTGCCTCAAAAAACTAAAAATAGAACTACCTACCCTATGATCCAGTGAGACCACTTCTAGGCATATATCCAAAAGAATGTGCTTCAGGATATGATAGAGCCACTTGTACACCCATGTTTATTGCAGCACTATTTATAATAGCCAAGCTTTGGAAACAGCCCGATGTTCCAAAATTGATGAATGGATTAAGAAAATGTGATATATATATGTATATACATATACATATATATGTATATGTATATATATATATAGTCAGGCTACGGAGGGTGGAGAGAGAAAAAAAATGTTAGAGAATGAAAAATATTGTAACAACCCATCTATATATAAATATAATATAATGTACTGTACAGTAAGTTGTTGAATATTAGGGAAGCATGGTGATAGAGAACGAGTAAGTAACACAGGGAGGGGGTTAATTTGATAAAAGCATGATATATATATATATAGCTGAAGTACCAAGGTGAAAACTTCTTAGACTATCAATGTATATTTAATTATAAAAAGCAAAGGGCAGGAGGGAAAAATAAATCTTTTCTGGGGTGAGTAGAAATGAGAGGGGACTGTGTACAAGGAAAAGGAGAATGAGGATTTATATGGAGGATGTGTTTTGTATCCATATATGAAAATACAAGAATGAAACCTATTGAAATTATTCTAAGAAAGGGTGAGGGGATAAGAGGGAGAATGATGGAGGGAGTAGATCCAACTAAGATATATTTTAAACACATATGTGAATATCACAGTATATCACCCAGTACAACTATTATATGCTAATAAAATTATAAAAAAAGAAATTGCCCTTTTCTCCTAGTGAGAAGAAAAACCAACTGTGCTCCTGCCAGGCTCCTATGCAATGTGGTCTGAATTTCACAAAGTCCATGTAGGGCTGGCAAGTGAGAGATTTCTTCTCGTTAAAATGGACTTGTTCACAGTCACAAGAACAAGTGGGGAGAGCTCAGCCTTCAGTCCACATGACCGACAGGCAATCCAGTGTAGACCTTGACCTGGCACAGGCTGATCAGTGCCCAAGTCTAACAGAAGGATGTGCAGAGCTTTTGGGAAGGGGTGAAGCTTGAAGCAGAAAAACAATGCAAGCCACATAATGTAATTTTTACATGTTCTGATAATCATATTTAAAGATTTAAAATGTAATAAGTTAAATTGTTCTTAATTGATAATGTATTATTTAATACTATGTATCCCAAACATTATTTCAACCTGTAATCACTATAACAAATTATCCATGGAAAAAAAAGATATTGAAGACCTTTCAGAAGGAAGTTAATTGACAAGTGGATCAGCTGGAACCTCTAAGCTTCATTTGGGCAACTCCAAAGTAGCATTGCTCTATGTCTAAGTTAGTGCTAATATTAAAATGCAAGTATCTCTCAGTCATGTGGGGCTTCCCTGCTAATTATTTCCCTAAACTCATGGAATTTTATCAAACACATGCAGAATTTTATCATTCAATGACAAACTCAAAGGGAACAGTATCCAGATTTGTAGTGTTTTTTTCTTTCTCTGCACAAGTTCATGTTTTCCCACACATTGTTCCAAAAATCCCCACCATTCCAGACTTCTGATTTCTAATCTCTATTTCTTTCATTCCACAGACTACAGTCCTGTTCTTAGGTTTCCTCCCACAACTGTGGTCCAGGATGACCTCATGCAGAACATGGAGGAGAATGCAAGGCTCACCTCATGCCTCTCCCTTCTTTGAAATTACAATGTTGTACTACTTTCAATCAATGTCTTCCCTCAGTTGCTTCATATATTTTGTCCAATTAGTTTAGCTCCTTATGTTAGGGCAGGATGTCTATTTCTAGTTATTCTATCATGGCTGAAGACAGAATTCTCTCCTTAGGCGCTTTTTAAGAAATCTATCAGTACTTTTTCTATATGCCAGCTATATTTTTAACAGCAGCCTACTGAGGCTGGGTGTAGTAGTGTGCATCTGTAATCCCATCTATATAGGAAGTAGAGATATGAGATTGTGGTTCAAGGCCATCCAAGCCCAGGCAAAAAGTCTTTGGAACTCAATCTTTAAAAAAAGAAAAAAAAACAGGTTGTGCATGGTGTCACATGTCTATAATCCCAACCACATGGGAGAAGAAGGTAGGAGAATCTTGTCTGATACAGCCCCAGGAAAAAAAAGTGAGACCCTATCTGAAATATAAACTAAAGTGAAAAGGGTTGAAGGGTGTAGCTCAAGTGGTAGAGTGCTTGCCTAGGAAGCATGAGGCCCTGAGTTCAACCCCTAGTACTGCAAAAACAAAAAACAGAAACAAAAAACCAAAACAGCAAAAGCAAATCTCAGTAACCTACTTTATAAAAAACATAAACATTCATACAGTAGTATTAAGTGGTCCAAAAAGAAATAATATACTAATTTATGTACCAGTTAATAATACTTTAAAAGGTATTGTAAGCAGGGCTGATGAACAAAACGGCTTTGTTTGATAAGGAAAAGGGTAATTTTTGCACAATGTTTAACTATAAGACCTGTGAATTATTAAAGAAAGAAAAAGGAAGAGAAAAGAATGTCAGGAAATAGTCTAGTTGATGAAAATCAGTGGGCTTCTGAAAGAAAAACTGAGGATTACAAAAAAGGAGTCAACCAGGACTCTTGCCAAGCTCCTGAAGATTAAGACTGATTTTCAACTCAATACAAAAGGACACTTGGCCCAACATATATAGAGGAAAACAGGGCATAGAAATCTATGATGAATGGAAAATGACCAGGCACCTCGGAGGACCACTGAGCTGCCTAACCTGTGTTGCTAATATTCCTAGGACAGCTACTGAGAGGAAGGGAACCCAGTGCTCTGAGGTTAAAGGCACAGTCACATCAGTTCTCTTCTGTCAGCTCTGAGCACAAAACAAAGCATCTCCCAGAGTCTCAGGGGAGACAAGTCCTCTCTTTTCATCACTGAGAGTTTTCCCACAGGCCAAGAGCATCAGGATGCCAAGAATAGTTTTAGTAAAGTTGTTTGGAAGGAGTAGGGATGTGGAGCTGCCTGCTTTGCAAAACACATAGAACATCTACTGTTACTACCCAGACATCCTTACAACAGCCATGCCCAAGAATGGGAGATGGAGAAATATTGAACTAGAAAATGGGGAAACAGGTCATTCAGATTCTTCTCACAATTCAGAAAAAATAAACTGAGATATAAACATTCAGAAGTTTGAATAAGTTCCAGTAATGATTTGTGACTTACTCCAGTAAGAAGAAATAAAACCACAAATAACAACGCACTTTGTAAATATTATAAAAAACTTAAGTGATATAGTAACCAAAAAAGTTCAATAATTTGATACATTATGATATACTCTTATGCTTTTTAACAATAAAATCAAGTAAATAGTTGGGTTGGGAAAAGTTTACATGGGTCAACAGTGTTAATATTTTCTTTTTTGTAGTATTGCAAGCTTCCAATAAGGATGACTTAATTTTTAAGCCAGTTTTAGATTTACAGATAACAAGCTCCATCAGATAGATAGTGTGTATAGCTACAGAGCCTGAAAGTAAATTTTGAAATTCATTATCTTTAGAGAAGACAGCTATGAAATCATTGTATTGACAAAGGAACAACCAAGTCATTATGAATAACCATTCTTTTGCCAACTCAAAACTACCTAGGGAGACTAAATTTCACTGCATTCATAAAACTCTTTTGTGGACTTGAGGGTTTTTCTTCTCTCTTCATTACAGAGAAGACAGTTGGACAATAAATGAGGCTTAATAATTTTATAATTGATATGAAAAACCATTTTAAAGCAAGAATTGAGAATGAAAGCTGAAAATATGGAGCCCAAATCAAGATTTCTTGGGAAGGTTAAAATAGCATTACATTACATTTCTCTAAAATTATTATTAGACCTAATAATCATATAGGCTCTTGGATCATAAGTTTTTCATGAAACTTACCTATTGTACATTTTTCTTTGCATTCTTCCAGACTTTCGAATCGATTCTGATTTCCTTCACATCCACCATATATAAACTCTTCACATTGTTGAGTGAAAATATTGAAAAAAAATTTTCTCATCAATGCTTTGCAGGGCCCATCATCTGCCTTCATTGCACAGAAGGAGTGTACCAGCTTCAGTGGTGGCAACTCAGCGTCTACTAGGCAAAGGTAATAAGAAATGAATTTTCAGTTCACTTTAATATGTCCTAATTTTAAGGAAAAGTATAACATAATAAAGTAGGCTCATAGGAAACCATGAAAATTATTTTATGATACAAAAGGGAAAGTTAGTACCTATGGCAATGAGATACATCTTATCAACCACTAAAGTTTAATATTAATCAACTATTAAAGAAAACATAGAATGCTTTTTCTAAATTCTTGTTATAGTTACTACTTAAATCTGTACCAGGTGATAGAGATGAAATTGAATAGTAGTTGTAAGGCAACCTCAGTCAAATAAACGTATCTATGTCACAAAAAAATGGAGACTTCTTAAATTCAGCACTTTTCAGAGGCAGAGGCTAACACACAATTTTTTGAGTCTCCCACCCTAATCCACAGTATATTATTTTTTAACATAAAAATCTTCAAAAGCAGTAATATAGTCATACTCATACATGTATATATAAATATATCCAAATTCAGGTTTTTAATATTATTAAAAATATAATGCATAACACCTTCTTTTACTTACCAGGATTAGAATCTGTCCTTAAATATTCAGTTAATTATTCTCGTAACAGTAGAAGTTCCTCTTTGGGAAGAGATGTTCAAATGGAGGAAACTCAACTAAGTTTTTAAAATTCAACTTTTATCTATTCTAATATTATTAACAACATTAATAGAGATCTACTTTTAAATAAGTTTAAATAAGTAGCATTTGTTACAGAATCTCTAGAGAGATAGATTGAAAACTGGGCTTGGTTGAGGAGTTAGGGAGATGGTGGTCAAAAAATCCAAAATTTCAGTTAAATATGAGAGATGAATTCAGGACTTCTTTTGTACAGGATGGTAACTATAGCTAATGATATATTTTATTCTTGAAAAATGTTGCAAGAGTGGATGAAAACTGTTCTCACCAAAACAGTCATGGCCTTAAGGAGGTATTTAAACCTTTAAATGATCTAAACCAATTTGTACTCTAGAGGGCAGCAGTATTCTATCAAATTAAAACCCACTAGCATGTCTTCAAAACATAGTTTTAATTTACTTTGAACAAAGAAACATAAATGGATGTCACTATTATATTCTTTCATAGAATATTTTTAAAATGTAAAGTTTGTGGATATATTATTATCTAGAAGGAAATTCATTTTGAATTTCTTGGAATTTTAAAACTTCTGAGATTTTTTGAGAAAGAAAATATGCATATCATAAAAGTTGGATTACACCACTTTATCAAGTCTCTTGAACCTTTAGTATTTTATTATTGTAATGACCTGTGTTAAAGTAGTATCAAGTATTAGCCATATTGTAGTAATGGTAAGACTCTAAAAAAAGTAATTGAAATATTACTGTTTTTTATATGAGTTATAAAATGTTAGCTAGTCGTTGTAATCTCAGAAAAGCTAAAAATATAGTTTGTGTACATAAGTTGACATTCTGATGCTATTTGATACAGGTGGTAGTAATTGAATATGTGAATTTTATCTCAGCTACAAAAACAACTTTTAATTTTTAAAAAATTCAAATTTAATTTGCAAAATACTATCTCACCAGTTTGATCTATTTGAAGACTAAATTACTAATTTTTTTAATTGAAATAAATTGAGCGGGATGTGGTTGTAATCCAAGCTACTTGGGAGGTAGAGATAGGGTGGATTGTGATTTCAAGCCATCCTGGGCAAAATGTTACCAAGACCCCATCTCAATGAACAAATTGGGAGTGGTGTTTCATATCTATAATCCAAGGTACCCATGGGAAGTATAGGTAGGAGGACTGAGGTCTAAGGCCAGCCCTAGTCAAAAAGTGCAGGACCCTATCTAAAAAAGAGCTAAAGCCACAAAAGAGGGAGGGAGGAGGTTTGATTCAAGTGGTAGAGCTCTTGCCTAGCAAGCACAAGGCCCTGAGTTTAAACCTCCATAGGAAAAAAAAGGAAAAGGAAGGAAGGAAAGAAGAAGAAAAGGAGAGAGGGAAGGAAGAAGGAATTGAACTGACAAAAATGATTTTTTAAAAAGTACGTTTTCAGACCCTAAATGTGATAAGGCAAAATTACCTATGACAGAGCATTGTCACTATACAAGGGCAGCTCCCAACACTATTGTCAGGAAAGGGCTCAGTAGCACACTCCAGTTCTGATCACACATTTGGCAGAAGTTAAAGTTTACGTACATGTATTTGTATGCTTCCAATTTTCTCTGGGATTATATTCAATTTGAAAAAAACACATAATTTTTGTATTTACCAATAAAATTTTTGTAATTATTTTACCAATAATATAACATTTCTAAGTTCCGTCAGTACATTCACCATGCATGTAAATAATTTTGTCAATGTAAGTTAATTTTATTAATATGTCGATGTTTAAATGCCATTTCTTTTTTTCTAATTCTTTAACTCTTTTATGTTGATGAACTTACCTGAAATATATGAATTGCTTTTCAAACTGATCTTTGAGCATATCAAGTGTTTCTCTTAACTACAGTGGCTACACAGTAAAATTCAGAATATTATCTTCTTTAAATGTTTTAATACTTCCTTGAAATTTTTATTTTTCTTAAATTATACACACGAGTACTTTTTCTATTTACATTCATAGCATAAATGTTGTTGCATCTAAAATATTGATGAAAATATTTTCCTAAAATTCTGTATATAAATAAAAATGACTTGTGAAAAATGTTTTTTTATCACTGAAGCTACCATAGTCAGTTTGAACCCAAAATTACTGAAAGCTTTTTCTGAACAGTACATTTATAAATAATTAAATTCTGTTCACATTCTCTGTGTTAAGAATGTTAGAATGTCATAACTGATATTTTGATTTATGAGAACCTAGAGTTTTCCATAAACACTAAATATGATCTGACTTAGAGAAAACACACAGTATAACAGAATTCACACTGTGAGTTCCTAGGCTCTGGACACTTTTTTTGGAGACCAATAAAGTTGTCCTATCAATAAGTATCTGATCTCAGAATCAAGCCTCAGAACTTGCTCAAATTATTTCAAGAAATGAGCCAGGAATAAAAGCATTCTTGCACTTGGAATCTTACCATTAGCTCATTACCATTAGCTCAGAAATTCCATCAGCAATTCAGACCAAGCATTGAAAAGCATCATAAATAACTTCACATAGTATTATTTCAGAGCAAGCAAGCTAATCTGAGAATAGTAAGTAGTCATTTATTTTCATGAAGAGGAATAATTAGTCAGAAAAGTGGGTGTCTTAGTTCCCAGGTTAATGTTATTTTAGAACTTTAGTGACACCACAGAATTCATGCAGTTTTTCAAACAGACAATTTTAGTATAAGAACAACACTCACAGGACTCAGAAAATTACCTAATACTTGAGTATTGCCAAATATATTCAAGAAAATTATGTTGTAATCAATAAATTATGTGATTGTTCTCACTGATGATTCTACGTTTTAACTCAATATAGTTGGTAGTTTTTTTCATCAAGCTGTATTTCTTACATTTTTTGTATTCAGGAAATACAAGTTCAGCCTGCTACATAATAATTTGGCCACAAGGCGAAGGGATACACCACAAAAGCAAAAGACAACAAATCAAAGTTGTCTGTACAGTGTCAGTAATATTAATTATAGATAAATTCCCTGAGTAGTTACAGTGCTCCAGACCTTTTTTCCATTACATCATCTCATGGTCACAACAACTCTGATACCTGGACATCACTTCCATCTTGCAACTTGTACAATAATATTGCAGCAATTATGTAAAGTTTTCAAATTTTCCCTATTATGTGATAAGTTTAGAATTGATATTCATGTGGTTTCATAGCAGGTTTATGATACATTTTTAATATATGAGTGATATTTCCACAAACCCGTATGGCTGAGATTCCTAAAATGGTATTTGGATCAAGCACATATATTTTGTTATAAAATTTCTACCTAATAACATTTTCTAATTTGTAATGTGAAACATAGTTTCACTGATGAAAATCAGGTGATGACTTTATAGCAATTACTTAAAGAAAACACTATCAATTTCTACTAACCACATATTAGCTGAGTATTTCTCTTCACCATTCACATTTTAATTTTTTTTGGCAGTATTGGAGTTTGAACTTAGGACCTGCACCTTTGAAGGCAAGCACTGTACCTACTTGAGCCATGCCTCCAGTCCTTTTTGCTTTAGTTATTTTTCAAATATGGTTTCAAACTTTTCCCTGATTGACTCAGACTGCAATCCTCCTATATAGCTAGGATTGCAGTGATCCACCGTGACCATCTTAATGTATTTCTTTTACAAATTCTGTGTGAGAATATTCTTTTACGCATTGAACTTGTGACTCACACCTGGGCACAACATCCCTGACATGGAGGAGCTCTCAGGTATGCTGTTTGACACAGTGCCACAATGCTCTACTCAAAAGACAAGGAAGCCTGTCTTGGTCTTTTCCTTTCTTACTTAGATAAAGCTATTTTAACATTAATAACTGAGTGTGATGCACACGCAGTGTGCTGTCTCTGAAAATATGACAATTAATTAGGCAGCAGCCACCCTTGTTTCATGGAGCATGTGTACACTAAGACTTACTGACATAAATATTTAGAAGACTGAGGCTGCTGTGTGAGCATGCTAAAAGGATACCTAAGCTGAGGGATCAAGGATAACTCTCCTGAGACTTAAAATTCAGACTCAAAGAAAACTGACAGAGATAGGAATTATCTACCAGCCTACGGTCAAGAAACTGGAAAATACGCAGGAGAATAAAATAGGAATTCAATCTGATACAGCCAGATAAATTAAGTTACAGTTTACACCTAATCATTTTGTAATTTATTTTATGTATTTTATGTCTCACAGTCTGAGGGTTACAGTCTTCTCCCTCCTGTGTCCTGGGAAGTCACATAGCAGGTTCAGTATGATATTTGGTGCCTGAATGCATCATGCCTCGACTATGAGAGTATCATTGTTGTGTATATTGGGCTTCCAGGCAATCTACTATCTAAGAGTTCTCATTTTGCTTTCCTCTGTGATTCTATTTCTCTGGAAGGGAATATACAAACATATTGCCTTTCTACCAGGAAAACTATGCCAGCTACCTTTATAAAGTTTATATTACTACCTAATGGAAGGAGTGGTTTTCAGATTCAGATGCTGGAAGTTGGGTAATTTAAATCACTTTTAACTTCAAAAAGGTATGGATGGCAAACCACACTGTAAATTCATTATTGTTTGATTCCTGCTCATCTCTCTCTGAGCCCTAAGGATTTTGAAAAAGCATATCATTACTGTTTTCATTAACATTCTTTTGTTACCAAGAACTTTATTGAATATCATCCTCTCTGGTAATTGGACTGATATTTTAAAGAGGTTTACCATTGGAGATAGGCACAGTGGTTCATGCTTGTAATGTAAGCCACTTGGTGGTAGTGGTAGAGATAGAAGGATTGTGGTTTGTGGCCAGCCTAGACAAAAAAAGTTAGAAGGATCCTATTTGAAAGAACAAACTGAAAAAAAAAAAGAAAGAACAAACTGGGCATTGTGGTTCATTGCTATAATTCCAATTACACAGGAGGTGTAGGTAAGAGGATCACAGTCTGAGGCCAGCCTGGGCAAAAAAATGTGAGCTCCTGTCTGAAAATTAGCTAAAGCAAACAAGGCAGGAGGCATGGCACAAATGATAGAGCACTTACTTAGCAAATGCAAGGCTCTGAGTTCAAACCCCAGTACTCCACCCTCCCCCCAAAAGAAAACAAAAAAATAGGTCTACCATTAATTGTGACAAAAGCAATAAAATTCAGTACATTTTTCTATTAATGACAGTGCTCTAGTTCAACAAATTAATGTTTCTATAAAATGATGGTTTGATCTTGGCATCATGTGACAAACTCTAACTCCAAAATTGAATTTATTCAGATGTGAAACATGCTATTGAAAGAATAATTGAAAGGAAAAGTAGGTAAGACTATGCATATGGTCAGCCAAGAGATCTTCAAGTTTACATTAAGACTGAAGAGCCTGGTGGGTGTGGTGCTGCTCTCCTGTAATCCTAGCATTCTGAGGCTACAGAGGAGGATCAAAAGTTTGAGGTCTATCGGGCTACACAGAGGAAACCTGTCTCAAAAACAAAAATGAAAGTTCTATTTCATTTGCTTATGTTTGCAAGCTATCATGTAGTTATTTCAAGCTTTGGGTTAATTATTAATAATTCTGGTTTCCTGGCAGACTATCAGCAACAAGAATTTCAGGAATCTCCCAGGTTACTGGCAGCTGTTTTCTCAATCAGTTGGGGGAATTGAACTGGGAAGTACTGGAAACACTTTGGCCATTCTTCCTCTTCCTGAGATAAGGTCACAGGACATTATCCTCCGCCTGTCTTGTTTCCATAACCTTCAGAGTATCATTATTTTAGCCTATTTCCTAGTACCCCTTTTTCCTTGAGACGCCATCCAGCTGTGTGGTCAAGGCTGGCCTACAACCATGATCCTCTTGCCTCTACCTCCTGAGTGCGAGGGACCCACCCCCTTCTGAGAAAAGAGCCAAATGAAGGACTAAAAGGCATTTTGTAATGACCACGTTCCTATAATGTTCCTTGTAAAAGGCACATTATGCATTATGGTTATTGCTTTATTAACTAATGCTCCATCTCCAGGAGGTTTTCATAACACCATCTTCCCACACCAAGCTCTCAGCTGGCCAAGCTTGGGTGAGGCCCCTACTTTGCCTCAATAGTAGCACCTTGTGCATGCCTTGCCAGTTCATTTGCTACATGGCAATGAAATCACCTGTCTACCCTCAGTCTCCTTTATCAATCTGTGAGATCCTTAAGAACCTGGTCTCAGCTGACACTGTTTCCCCAGTAGCAAAATATGATGTGTTTATTCAATCTTTGCTAAAGAGAAATGCACAGAACATAGTCACTTTAAAGAGCTGTTAGAGGTGTGAAATAAGAATGCTTTTACAGAAATCTGTTGAACATCTTAAACTACTGCATAAATATTAGAAGCGATGGCTATATTCTCTCATTATTACAAGTAACTTGATATTTCTATCAATCATTTACTAATTGGCTACAAGTTGTAACTTTTGAGAAAGGTATAAATCTATAAAAATCACTTTACAGTCTTTTCCTTGTTTTGGGATTCATTACAAACATTTTTATTTGCAGATATGGAGATTTATGGCCCATTACTAGACCCATTGATATACTTGACTATATTCTTACATTAAACCCATCTGGGAGATTCTCATTTTGGAAAAATATGGACAAGAAGGTGAGACTAGTTGAAATCTCTGATGTTTGAAGTTCCCTTTTCCTTCTCACACTTCTTCCAGGGAAAGGGTACCATCAAGTTTCCAAGAAAATTTCTTTTCAGCACTTTGCTTCTTGCAATATTCCAAAGTTACTCCAGGGTTTATTATTATAACCAAGAAATCTTTCTTGATAAAGTGGCTTGATTTTGGGAGTCTACAAATTAGCACATTAGGTATAAGAACTTTTTAAAGAAAAATGCCACTTCCTTAAAAACTAATTTTCCATCACAACGGAAAAATAGAATAATTTTACACAAATTTGAAAGCATTGACAATCTTAAAAAATACAAACACTTCTAAGATATTACCTGTAATATTTGTATGTTCTTCATCCTCCTCAGGTTCAGCACTAAGAAGCATAGCAGCAAAACTAAGCAGTAGATATACAGAAGCCAAAAAAATATGTTCTTTCTTCATGATAAATCTTTTCTGAAATGCAGAACCCAAACATATTTAATAAATAAAAGTTGAGGTGAACTAACCTTTACACTAGCAGAAGGCATCATGCATACTTTTAAATGCAAATTTCTATGACATTTAATCTGTACCCACATACATCTCTGTCTACATAGTCTGTGAGTCATATTTAAAATGTATGAAGCATTCAAAGTTGTGGACAAACACAACCTTACTGCATACATTTAATAAGATTCAAGTGTACGTACTTCAATTCCAAAAACACAAATTAGAAAGGTAATAATTGAGAAACATGGGTAAATGCTGATCAATATGAATAGGTATGTATTAAGATCTATTTCATATGCAATTATACTTTCTGCATCACTCTCAGCTATTCGTATTTTTCAGTCAGAAATAATAAATTTTATTTTTTCTTGCATTTTTCCTGTTAGGTTCTTAAAGCAACTTTCAATTTCTGATTTTTCTCCCTTTGCTTTGATACTGCTTTCAAAAAGGAAATACATTTTCAGAAATTCTAACTTTGTTTTTTTATATGTATTTTATAACTAATTTCCTAACCAAGTTTTCTAAGAGATAGCAGACAGAACTGCAAACAAAAGAGATGTCCAACATTCTAGCCACTTCCTTTCCCCAGTTCATCCTTTACCTACTTACTTATCTTTTTTTCAAGAGTTTCACAGAAGTATGACTTTAAGTGATGAGCCAACACTTCTACACTCAAAGGGAAACAGATTTCAGCAGGAGATAGAGACATTTCCTGTTTCAAAATGATTTAAAGATCCATAGGGGAAAAAAAAGGGAAAAGTACATAAAACTCTTTTTTTAGAAAAGATGATTTCTCCTTTGGATCCAAAGGTGAAAGGAAATGTGTAATGTTCAAGCAGAAATACACGATCCTATCCAGCCACTGTACCAGTGACTCAAAGAGAAACAAGAGCTTAGCAGTAAACACAGTACCAGATACTCCATCAAGAGAAATTTCGAGAATTCTCTGGTTTTGGCTGTACACCGTTTTATAGATGCAAAATATATGATTAAGATGTGTTTAGCCTTAAAATAAATGGCAAAGTAACAAATTCCATTTAACCTTAACCTTCATTAAAATCACTGGTAAAATAATCTATTCTCTCATGTTGCATTGAAAATGTCAACATATATTTGATTTTTAGTCAGTAGCAGTGTTACATGCTTTGTAAATCATACCATACAACATACGAATCCACAGACTATCTACATATATATATATGTGTATATATATATATATATATGTATATCCATTGTTTTCTAACAAACGTCTAATCTTTATTTGGGAAAGCATTCTTCAAAGACTCTAAGGTTGGTTGCTAGCTATAGAGTTCAAGAATTAGAATTATAAATCTATCAAATTTTTTCTTTAAAAATTGCAGCCTTAAGTGTTGCCTAAAGTTAGTCATTCTAGTCTTTCCTTAGTTGCCAGGAGCTAGCATGAACAAATTTAGGTAAAAAGGCTGTAAGCCATCATTCCAGAAAATATGGAGCTCATACTGGAAGGGCAAGTTTCTGTTTATCTCAGAAACAATTAGAGCCAGATAGCTGATCACCACCAGGTGTCTCACACTTAGATGTTATACTCTAGAAAAGCTTTAATTTCTCTGGGTGCAGCCCAAATTTCTCCACATAGCATGAAACCTGGTCACACACCAATCTTGGATTTCAAACTATAAAGATTCTTCCATCAAAATGATGCTTTATTCTCCTTTCCCAGGCTTATACAGCTCGAGAATAGCACTAATAATTTCAATTTGTAAGAAGTGCCATCATTTGGAACAATGCATTTGAAGTGAAGTCCTGCAAGAGACCTGTTGGCTTTAATGGGCTCCAGACCAGATTTAGTGAATCCTAACTCAGTCAGGGGTCTGGAACAGAGAAATGTAATAACATGACAAATCTTAAGGGAAAAATATGGTTTGAAGGGTGGAGTGAGTAAATGTAGCTCCCAGAAGGCAGGAAATGTTGGCTTCTAGAATAAGGGAAGGGTGTTGGACCACACAGGACAGCAAGCCATAGTTAGAATAATTTTCAAATGTAAAATTAGAAATAATTTTCACTAGACACAGCATCTATTGACACGCAGAGATTTCTTAAGCCACTGTTTTGGGGTTAATGGTTAAAATGAGCAAATACAGGAAAAATCTGTATATATCTGTAGGTGTAAAGAAATAACATCTAAAGTTCGATTGAGAGATAGTGCTTTCTTTTTGTAGACATTTTAGGCTTATAGAAAAATAGGACGTGGTTGGGTGGGGTGCTGGAAGGCACGCAGTGGCTTTTCTAAGACACTGGTTCTAGGTTATCTGACTCCAAATAGGACATGCCAGGGAAAAATGCGTGAAATATGCTTTTAAAAAGTGGTACTGTTTCATAGGTTCTGACTGTCTAGCACAAGATTTGGTGCATAATAATGCTAGTGTTTTGGTCTAAATAGACTTCCACTGAGCAACAATTTTCTTTTGAAAAAAAATGGGCATGTCCTGCAGCAAGAATGTATAGAGAAACCCCTTTGAACATCAACTTAAATATTAATGAAAGACAGGACTGTAAAATAGGTACAGAGTGTGTCTGGGGGTACTAGTAGGAGGGAGGAAGGTGAATGAAGGAGATTAAGGTGAGGGTATACAACTGATGAACTTCATATACTTATATGAAATAGAACAAAGAAACCTCTTGCAATTGCTTTAAGTGGGGCGGGGAGAGGGTTGAGGGGCAAAGAGGATGGTGGCTATCTAGCCAATGTACAAATATAAGTCTAATCGAACTATAACTATGAATCCACCCTGTATTACGAGTATATCCTACTAAAATAATTTTTATAATAAAAACAGGTCATGTTAAGGGGAGGGTACTAGCAGCAGGAGGAGGGTAAATAAAGAAATTAAAGAAAGGTGAATATAGTTTGTATGTTTTCTACACATGTACGAACAGGGAGTATTGAAACCTATTGAAGTCATTTTAAGAATGGGGATTGGGGAAAAAGGAGAATAATGGAGAGGAATGAACCAAACTGGGTTGCAATATATGTATACCTGGAAATGTTACAATGAACCCCCTATACAACTATCATATACTAATAACAATATTTAAAAAAATGGATATGTGTCACATTTGGTAATCCATGTGCTCTCTACAAATTTTCAAAGTCCCCATATTTTGATACTCAAAGGCATTTTTGAAGATGTATTAACTTCCTTTACAATCAACTTATGGGTAACAATCAGTCTTTTGTAGTTCCCAACAATTAAAGGTCATTTTCGCAGTTTCCAGTATAACATACTGAATTCAAGTGGTAGAACATTTAAATGTTTAGCAAGCGTAAGGCCATGAGTTCAATCCCAAATTACACACACACACACACAAAATCCTGTACAGCACACTCATGCTGACAGCATAACAGTTTATGTTTTCCTTCTACTAGTGAACCAGCTGCAGCATTTCTCAATCAGTCTTGGACCAGCATGTTTTCTCTCACAAGTAAGTATTGCCCCACATTTTCCCATTAATCTCTAGGCCACTGTTCAATCACCACCTGGTTTCAGCTCCAGGATACCATCTGTATCAGTAGATTTTTTTCTTTTTTATTAACATATATTCATTGTACAAGGGAGGATTTGTTGTGACAATTCTCTCTGTCTTTCTGTACTACTGGGATTTGAACTCATGGGAGTTAAGCTTTCTCTTCTTGAGGTCAGATTATCTTCATAAATTGGAGTTCTTTTGCACCAGAGAGTTTTCTGGTCTCCTCTACTTATGAAATTATTCAATGTTTTGCTTACATCAGTATGGACTCATGGGTATTATTTTGTAATTTGTACTGTAATCCAGTACTATATTATTCATATTGCTACTCAAATTGTTTCTCAGCTTTGGCCAATATGGTGGAACACTGAGTTGGCTCCTGTACTTCTTTGACATAGCTCCACCAATATGGGTTATCAATTTTTTGAGTGTCTCCTTAATTTTTCTTTTGCTAAAAGTGTTCCAGGTTCATAATGTATATTTCATGTCCCAATCCTCAAATCAGTCATTTCTCTAGAAAGCCTTGTTTCTGCTACGGGATATTGGTATTAAGAACCAAAGTCTTGGGCACTAGCTGTTACTGGAATGTCATTTCTTGTAGTCTCTCTATTTTACAGATTACATAAATATATGTGCGTACTATCCTACATGTAAGGATACATTATCTTTAAATATAACTGTTTCCTCCTGTGACTGGCTTATTTAATTTAGAATAATGTCTTCAATTTTCATCCATGCTGCTGCAATGGATTATTATCATTTCTAAGGCTGAATAACACTCCATTGTATAGACATAGCACATTTCTTTATTAATTTGTATGTTAATACTTGGGTTGTTTTCATCTCTTGGCTAATTGTGAATAATGCAACATAAAATGGGAATGCAGATATAGTTTCAAGTTTCTGGTTTCAACCTTTTGGTGTGTACCCTTTTGCTGGATCATAAGTGAGATTTACTTCCAATTTTTTTGAAGAATCTCCATTCTATTTTTCATAGTTACTCTACCATTTTACTTTCCTACCAACAATGTGTCAGGGTTCCAATTTTTTCACATACTCATCAACACATCATCTTTAAAATTTTTAAAATAATAACCATCCTAACAGGTGTCAGGTGATATCTTATTATTTTATTGATTTTCACTTTCCAGATAATTAATGTTGTAGAGCAACTTTTCACATACCTGTTAGTCATTTGTACTTTTATTTTTCAGAAATATCTATTCATTTTTTTTTGCTCATTTTTGTTAAGTTATTTGGTTTGGGGTTATTTAGTTGAAGAACTTGCTCACATATTTTGGAAATTGAGCCCTTCTCACATATATAGTCTGAAAATATTTTCTTGTTCTTTTGTTTTCTGATCTTTTGCTCTGCCATGTGACCTTGCCATGATATGCTGACTTGCCCAGAGCAACAGGGTCAGCTAACCATGTGTTGGAACTTTAAAACTCTCTGCT